AGCCGGAGTACCCGGAGGGAACCCACGCAAACACGGGGAGAACATGCAAACTCCACACAGAACGACCCCGGCCTGATGGTGGAATTGAACTCAGGACCTTCTTGCTGTGCGGCAACAGTGCTAACCACCGTGCCACCGTGCTGCCCAATTCAATCATTAATTTATATGCCATTCTCTTTGTCACCAACTTTGCTCCCAGCTGTGGAAAGATAGGAGCTGTGCAGTCATAAGTTTGAGTATGCCTGTTAGTTCAAGGGTTATTCAGACTTTTTAATTTAGTACCCACATGGTAGAGCAGTACTAAAGACTTGAAAGCTATGTGCCCTATACGCCTGCTGTTCAAATGCTGTTTCTATTTCTGATGTTCGTCAAATCAGGAGATTGCTGACTTAGATGGAGGGCAGCTGAATGAAGGCCCAGTATGACATAAATAAAGATTATCTTGACCTGTGAATCATGCAGCGCTACTGCAGTACAGCGTGAGAATAAACATGTGGAGTTCGATGTAACAGGTTCTCTTTAAACAACGCAAAATATTTTTGGATTGCCTAAAATAGCCACCATGTGACAATGTCTCAACCAGTTTTATAAGACTGTGACTAGTATTTACTTTCAGTTAACAAGTGAGTTCAGTGGTACTGCTGGGATACAGTGGCATATAACCAGCAGTGAGACGTGGCAGGTGTGTGAAGTCCCGGTTTTACAGTGGAGAGGGGGAATGACTCACTTGGAAATAAGTGACATAATATTTTTATATTGTGAACTCTGGTAAATTAGTTTTCCACTGACTGACCTGTGCTGCTACTGGTTCTAAGGTTTACTGCATTTTGTGGGTTTAGTCAGTTGCATCACGTTGTATGTTACATAAACTGTCATGGCTGAGTGCTATTAAGTCAGTGCTTAAAAAGACTGGACCTCTGTATGTCCATATAGACATTTCTCCTCTCATCCAAGAGGCTTCTTCAGTTCAAAGGAGAAAGGATACTCTTTCAAGGATGTCAGTGCTCAAATTTTGGACCACGATGACAGAGAGGAGTTAAGGTGGCAATCTATGACCACTGTGAATGATCATAGTTGAACTGGTGACTTCTGACACCTACAGTGCAGTTTTGAGATCTGTTTCCAGGCATTTCAACCCTTACTCACATCTGCCTCGGTTGACCTCGGTAGCTAAAATGATTGTCGAATGAGGCAAGTTTCCTAATGAGGCTGTACACTTTAGCCCTAGTGAAACCTCGGCTCGTGTGATGGACCACCTCCAGAGAGTGTCATTGTCTGGGAAGCCTCAGGGTTTTTATGTTTGTCTTCCTTTTCCTCTCACTTGATTTTTTTAGTTTTCTTTCTCCACACAGGCGAAGTGGTGGGAAAATGCTTCCATGGGTCATCAGGCATGGTCCTCTCTCTGATTCCTTGTTCTGAGTCTCCTCATCATCCAGAGTATTTAATAGCTGGAAGTATGGCAGATCTTTGTCAGATCATTACACCTCCCATGGTGATAATTAGGCTATCCATGTTTGCTTTCCATCAGAGTTATTTACATTTATTAATTTCATTTCTCCCTCTGCCTTCTGGTTGCCTGTTTGGAGTTAACTCCGTGAACCTGATTTCTTACTTACCTGCATCCCCTCCAAGTTTCACTCAAGACCCCAGCCACACTCACCTGCATAGCCATGCTCCATGCTGCTCACCTTGCCTCTCTGGGTGCCTGCTTGCTGTTCCATCAGACCATCCACAATTCACATCTCAAAAATCCGAAGACTTATTTATCTTACCTTCACTCTAAAGACAAAAGATTCTTAAGAGAATCAGAACAGCTTAGTGATTTGTCCAATAAACCTTTGTGAGCTAAGACTGTATTTTGAGTCTGTCCCCTGTGTTAATAAGATGGGGGGATAATCCTCACTGGGCTTCAAATACCCAGGACTCTCCAACAGTTATTGCTCTGGCTCATGGATGAAAGGTGAAATGCCTTGGTGAACCTAAAGAAGTTGCCATCTTTTCAAGCACTAATAAAATTAGTGCAAAGGTAGAATTTGTCCTGGCACTCATTAGCCATGATGAAATAGGCACTTATTCTGGAAGCTATTTTGAGACATTATCTAAATTAACTTTAATTTCAGTGGTCAAAAGAAAGTGGAAACACGTGTACAGACTACCCAGTAAAACCTGATTTAAAAAAATATAATATTAAATGCAGACTTTGCCCAAAATATAGTTTTAAACTTTTTTTCTACTTCTTATGTCTCTACTGCTACTCATGACCTCATCTTTAAGTAACCACATCTGTGTCAACGTTACCACAATGCTGCACAACAGCCAGTAAGACCTGTGCTTACTGTCCCATGCACGTTTGCATTCGTTACATAAGTCTTTACACACACCCCCCTTCAGTGGTACTCGCTAAATGCTGAAGTACAAATACTGCAACTTTATTGACATCTGTATGCATGAGAGTGATGACAAAAAAAAAAGGATGCTTGCAGAGTCTGCAGGTGGCACCATGGGATGACTTTACTTTCACTGATGAATCATCTGGAAGGACTAGCAGGCAGCAGTAGATGAAAAGTGAACTGACTGACGGCATTTTTTATTGTATTAAACTGCCTGTAAGATTTTATTAGTCAAAAACTGAAGGTGTTTGAATACTATTTCAGAAGGTCTCAGTCCACATTAATGATACTAAAATGGCTTATTTATCCAAAAATCTAGAAAGTTACTGTGGCAAAAAAAAATTAATGCATCGCAGAGTAAAAAAAGCTAAGAAAGGTAAACAAATTACACTGAAGCCTGGATTGGTTACACTGAAGATGTAAGAAGACCTTTCTGCCTCACAGCAAGGTCTCAGGTTCAAATCCAGTTTGCACGGTACTGTGCACTTGCTGCTTGCACAGTTGGAGCTGGAGAAACTGGAGAGTGGGGTTTAGCTTAATCAGCAATTCTAAATTGGCCGTAGGCGTGAATGTGAGTGTGAATGGTTGCATGTCTCTGAGTTAGCCCTGGCAGATTGGTGTACCTCTCATCTCGCCCTATGACAGCGGGGAAAGGCTTCAATGGAATTGGATAAGAGGAAGGATGGTGTAATTGGGTAAAAAATCATTTGTTGAAAAAGTGACAAAACAAACCGAAATTTAAATATGACATAATGAAGAGCTTGGGTCTAAAATTAATACAGGCATTATTGTGTTAGATGGTGTAGATTTTCTCTATGTATCCTTGCGGCAGTGGAGCTGAAGCATATATTAGAGAAAGTGTTCAGTTGTATGTCCAGTAAGTGGTGCAGAGGATCCATTAGTTATGCCATAACTCCTGGGTATACAGCACATTTAAGCTCTGCTTAACCACAGTAGTTAAAAAGAGCCTTTAAAATATGCAAAGACTATAGACAGTTGATTGGTATTTTAAGACGTAACAGTCAGTGAGTGTGGAAAAAGTCAGTTATGAAAGTTTCTTTGGGTGTGGTCCGAAAAAACATCAAATAAAAGGGAGTGATATTAGAGATACGAATACCAACAATTACCTCTGCTGCAGAGAAGGACTTCATCAGAGCTACCAGGCTCAGAAATTGCCAATCACCACAGAGTAGAGCTCACATAAATACTTCCCAGAGTTTAATTAGCTGGCACATCCAAACGTAAGGTGTTCAGAGGCGATTGTAAAAATCAGGCCTTCATTGTTGAATTGCCGCACGGAAACCAGCGCCGGGGGAGAACAGGACAATTATAACTGCTCGGGCCGAGAAACACGAACAACTTTAGTTTGATGAGCCAAAATTAGAGATTTGCTCCCAGCTGGCATGTCTTTATGAAACACATTGAATCTCCATAATATGGGTCCCAAGATAAAGCAAGAAGGACACGATCCTTATTTTGAGTGGGACTGTATTTGTGTTTGCAGCAGCTTAATGAGCCAAACCATCTCTGTACACTTTGCAAGGACTTTTTGACCAAGAGGCAGTGTGACTGCCTAACTTGACCAAAATAAAACTTTAATTCAAGGAGGAAAAAAAGTGTATTTCAACAGTTATGTCATGCTTTTTGTTGTGGAGAAGGCACAGTCTCTGGCCAGTATTTTTAATATTGAACTGAAGTGAACAAAAAGCTTTTGTTTCCTTCCCTTTTCCCTTGCTCTCCTGACTAATCTGTGTATCAGGGACATTTTGCCTCCTCACTCACACATCACTCATCACTAAATACACACCGAGACCTTCCTCTTGTGACATTTTATTATGTTCCACACTGTAGTTGGCTTGTAGTATGGCACAAACAAAAACAGCCAGAGGCTGAGAAACAGCAGTTGGTTATACTGCAATACTACGCTGTTTTCGACTAGTTGGAGCCACGCTTGTAAAAAAACATACTCTAATCTTTCTTTCTACTTCCCTGGGCACAGACTGGTGATTGATATTGATCTGGAGTGTATGCATTTGCACTGACTTTGATCTGTGTGTGGTGATTCTCAGGTGATCTTGCATCCTTTGAGGCCTCGCATGTCTCCTACACAAGGTGGTGTTTGGGTCGCCGTCATCTGGATAATGGCCAGCTGCTTCTCCCTCCCACATGCAATCTACCAAAAACTCCTGACCTTTACATACAGGTAAAATGAATCACAGTCATTATGTAGAGGCACAATTCAGTGAGGTTAGCTATGGAGATGGAGGTTCTTTACTTTATATGCTGATGGATGTGGAACAGGTTTGCTCTGTGTCAGATTTAAAGGGAAAAAACCCAAAAACGATTTAAAAAGAACGAACTTAGTCACAAGAGTTACAGAAAGTAGGCGAAAACAGTGGCCAAAAGTCGACACAACAAAGTCAAAGAAGCAAAATGAAAACTGAAATGCTCAACTTGGTAGCACAAAAGCAGTCTGGCAAATTGGAAGAGCTACACAGGAGTCATATCTACAAAGGAGACTGATTAGTTAATTGAGAACAAGTCACACGTTCCCAGAGTTCAGAATTCAAAGTGTGTACAAGCAGAAATTAATCGTATACAAAGAATTTCTTTTTTTATCTCTTAGTATTTTACTCTGTGAAAATGTATTTATCTGTGCACTTTCCCTTTTCACCCAGTTTTAGGCTCTTATCGAATTTTTATATGCATTTTACACACAGTGTGGTTGCTCTCTGACCTTTTAACAAAGAGCATCAAATTCCACTGGGCTTTGAGTTACATACTAGTGAGATTCAGAGCAAACATAGATGAAGATTTGCCCTTAAATATACCAAATACTTTGTGGTTGTGAGCCTTCTGTAGGGTGTGAAGCAAGATCACGGCTGAGTTCTTAATGAATTCATTAACTGGTGTGACCAGTTTTTCCTCCAAATTAATGTGGATAAAACCAAAGAAATGTTTGCAGATATTTGTCAGAGGTCCCTTCCCCCTGCACTCATGTCTGATTAAAGGGGAGGAAGTGGCTTAAGTATTACTAATATATGCACTTGTACCCTATATTTCCTGCTCTGATTAATGTTCATCCATAATTATAGTATAAAATTAAAAAGTCATACACAATATGATGAATAACTCTTTGGTTTAAAAAAACATCAGATTACAATGAAAAATGAAGAACTAGAATAACTTTAAAATAACTATGAACTAATAAACTCAGTGGATCAGAGACAAATGTTGTTGTTTTTTTAAAATTCATACTTCTCTATGAAATAACAATAGCCAATGATTATTAATATACAGTACTAGGTAAAGGCTCGAGCTGCACCACCAGTCAGACTTTCTTGTAAATTTAAAGTGGTTTTGAGCAATAGCTCTCCAGGGTTTCTGAAGGTCCTTCAGAGTTTTTATTTGGATATTGGCAAGGCAAGTTTATTTATATAGCACAATTCAACAGCAAGGTGATTCAAAGTGCTTTACAGAGACATTAAAAAACAAAAACAAACAAAAAATTATTATTATTATTATTTTTATTCAAATGCAGCTGAGAACAGGTGAGTCTTCAACCTGGATTTAAATAAACTGAGTGTTTCAGCTGATCTGAGGCTTTCTGGGAGTTTGTTCCAGATATATGGAGCATAAAAGCTGAATGCAGCTTCTCTGTGTCTGGTTCTGACTCTGGCTGATTTTTCACTCAGTCCAGTCCTTGTACCTGACCATTTTCAGAGGAATGTTTTTGTACTTGTTACTTAACACTGTACTATGAATCATTCAAACATATAAAGGAACCTTACTCAAAAGATGACCCAGAAGTGTATCTATACATGAGAGACATTAAAAACAAAGAACCAATTTTCAATTGTAATTTTAGGAACTTTATTTTATTTTATTTTAACCAGCACCCTGTCACATAAGTGCATCATGTGTTTTATTTTCTTTAATTGAATTTGTTAAAAATGGCAAAAATAATAATATTTGACAGACATAAATGACTATTTTTGAACTAGTAATGTGATTCATGATGTGTCCTTAAAAAAATGTGGAAACTGGATAAGAGTTAAAAATAAAAGTGGCAGGCCTAAAAAAAAAACCCATCTACAGCAGATGAGTGTCAAGTCCTTAAGAAATAGGAAAATCTCTAACAAAGACCTGCTGCTTTACTGTTCATGACCAGAGAGATGCATGTGTCCCTTTCAGTTTCACTGAAGTTCACTGAAACCTCATAAGAAAATGGAAGGGTGGCTGTCAAGAAGCCATTCTTACTGAAAGGATAAGGGTGATTTGGTATGCCACATTACACCAGACCTGCACTGAAAATCAAGAAACCCAATAAGAAATGTTGGGTTCAAATCGATGACTTATAGAAAAACACTGTAAGTCATGGATTGGCCTCTCCAGAGCCCAGGCATCCACATTATTGAAGCAGGCTGGGATCACGGTGACAGAACAGCCAACATCCAAAGAGGTGTTTTGAATGTCCTTCAAGAAGCCCAGAGAACTATTCCTGAAGACTACTTATTGAAATGAGAAAAACCTTGCCCAGAGAGTTCAGGCTGGGTTAATGAAAGGTGGTCATACAGTCAATCATTGACTTAGAAGCTGGTTAGAATTTTACAGCTTCAGGGTTTTTTTTTGCCATATATAATCTGTATTTCCATTTATGTTTGCACATGTTGATAAATCATTGTACTTATTTCCCATTTTTCCTGACAAAATATAAAGATTTCTGCACAGTACTGTAGTATTTTCTGTCTTTTCTGTCTTTCTCCTGACAGTAAGGAGAAAGAGCGAAGCCTGTGTGTCCCAGACTTCCCAGAGCCATCAGATGTCTATTGGCAGTACATTGACCTGTTGACCTTCATATTGCTTTACTTGCTGCCCCTCCTCATCATCACTGCCTCCTACACCATAGTGGCCCGTAGACTGTGGCGCCACAATGCCATCGGTGACACCACAACTGCTCAGCATGCCACACAGAGAAGGAAGCGCCGGAGAACACTGGCGATGCTGCTTCTGGTGGTCGGAGTGTTTGCCGTTTGCTGGTTTCCCCTCAACTGCTATGTGGTGCTGCTGTCCAGCCAGGCCATCCATTCTTCTAATGCCCTTTACTTCTGCTTTCACTGGCTAGCTATGAGCTCCACCTGCTACAACCCTTTCATCTACTGCTGTCTGAACCCCACTTTCCGCCAGGAGCTCCAGCTCCTCGTTGACAGGTGCAGGAAGAGACGACGGGCAGTGGTCGGCTTGGACCCGGAGCTTCGCCCTGCAGTACCTCACGCTCCATGTCACAGAACTGCCTGGCCCGACAACCAGGACTCCTCGAGGCCAAGGAACGTTTGGTCACACCCGGTCCAAGCTTCCTCACAGCAGAGTCACCCTTCTTCAAGTCAGTCCCACAACCTGAAAGATGCACATGTGCTTTTCACTGCCCGGCAGGCGCTCACAGGGAGGACCGACATCCTCTCAGTGGAGCCCATTGTGGCTGTGAGCTGACTGGAGACAATCCTGGACTGAACTGAGTTGTTTAACCTCTTAAGCCCCAAGCCTAACTGATGTCCTGCCTTTTGAGGTTAAATCTCTTCTAGGGCTTCATCAAATAGGGCAGAACATCTGGTAATCTCAGATCTGTATGTCTGGGCCAGTAATTTCAAAAGCAGCAGGGTGTGGAGAGGCTTTTGTGGTGACTGTGAATTGCTGAAAGATGTGACCCTTTTTCTCCCCTGAAGCTTATAAAGCAACTGCTCCACATTCACACACGCTTTTTCTCTTTTCACGCCAGTTTTTTTTTTTTTATTTCCCTTCCTGATGTTTGTTAAAAAACAATGTCCCCGAGCCTTGACAAATGGATAAAACATTCATCACGTTACTTAAACGTCTTTTTATATTGTATTGTGATGGAAAAAAACAAGAAAACCTTCACAGACTGGCTGGCAGGGTAGCAATGAAGTTCAGTCTCTGTGAAAAAAGAAAAACAATGTTCAAGTTTAACAGGATCAGTTGCTGTAAGATATGTCTTAACAATCTTGGTTTACCATTCAGGACACAAGGATGGATTCTCAGAGGGAAACCGAACCCTCCTTAGCGTGAAAATATCCTCATATTTATCCGCAGACCACCTGAAATCCATCCTGCTGCAGTATTTTTCCTTGGTTTTCCTTTGATTTGCTGTCATCTAGCCAGAGCATTTGTAGAATATGCACAGAGGGGAAAAAATAAACTATTTTTATCTTTCTTACACCAGAAATTGAATTAATCCAAAAGTGATTTTGGGTTGTGAGAGGTGAAAACATTAAAAACAAACTATCAAAGATCTAAATAGCACTGTGACATGACGAGAAATTGATGTTATGTTTGTCTCATGCATACACAGGTCAAAACAGGAAATTAAAAAAGTTATCATTAATAACCTTTTGATTGATTTCTTAAATTTTCAAACTAGAAGACTTCTCATCCCATATTTCTTTTTCTTTCATATTCACTGCAATGCTCCAGTAGACACCGCACAGTGTGAGGCCGATGATGACGATGATTAAATCCATCTCATGCAGCAGGAGGTGTATTCAGTGTAGGTGGGGGGTCGGGGTGGGGACAAATAATGATGAAATTGGCAGCGGCGCGGTGACCAGAGACCATGGGCGAATTGAAGCGATGGCTGGGAAACAACTGTAACAGTTAATGCTGACAAAGCCTTGTAGAAATTGAAGGATGCCACAGACTGATGAGAAGAGATGCATGCACGTGAGGGTTATCTATGCAACCGGAGCCTGGGATGTCCACTAGACACCAACTGTCTATTTGGACTGAAAGCAGGGGGGGCGCAGGCGAACTGAAATATGTGTCATGGTCCTGGGTCTGAGGACTCGGTGTTTTGTTTCTTTCTATTATTCTTTGTTCTCGGTTATTCTGTTTTGTCTTTTGTTTAGGTTTGCTATGTGTTAGTGTTTTTGTTTCATGCCTG